CGAAGGATGGGGAGGCATCCCAGGCAAAGAGGCAGGGCAACAATGTTCAGACAGAGGGCCTGGCAATGCAAAGGCCCAAGGGACCGCAAAGCATGTCTCACTCATGGCCACATCTCCCATGTCGAGTGCACAGCCTCCCTCCCCACGGGTGCCCAGAGAGTGCTTCAGGGATGAAATCTACAGATGACTGTGTAGCCTTAGAACAAGTCATTTGTCTTCTCTGAACTCCAGCTTCCTCTCTCTCTCTCTGGTGATTTTATCATCCTAACCTAGGATAAGCAAGAATACACTTCATTCAGTGCCCACATATTCGAGTATTCCCATAGTGCTCAGTATTGCACTAAGCCTGCAGGAGACGAAGCCTGACATGGCGGAGAGGGGAAGCACCCTTAGGGTGCATGCCCATGAAAGCCAGAAGTCAGCAGGAGTCTGGAAAGGGGAAGGACGAAAGGAGAGGTTCCAGTTGAGGGTGAGGGTGGACCCCTGACTGGCAGGTCAGGTGAGCCGGAGCTCCTCAGCAGTTCCTGCCTTCCCATCCCCCAAATCCCCACAGCATTTCCACCCTCCCACCCACCTGCCTTCTGAAGACATGCTTCCCTGGGGCCACCGTATCTGTGTTCCAGCTGGCAGAGCCAGCATTCGGCCCAATAGAGCATTTTATTTCTGTGACTTTATTCCTGTTGCCCCACAACCTGAATAACAGGTTGCAGAAATCCCCCACCAGGATCAAGGAAGAAACTGTTTCATTTCACCTGTCCCTGCAGAGGAAATTCTTGCCCCACCCTCCTAGCTGTTCCAGGCACCTTTTTCCCTCCCTTCCGGCTTCTAACAAGTCAGTCTGTCCGGGGCCAGCTGGGGAGCACTCACAAGGTCACCAGGGTGGCCGGTTGGAGATTCAGGAGGCCAGAGAGCACTGTCCGGGCAAGTGGTTAGTCAGTCAGCAACTCAAGCACACGGGCCACCAAGTCGATGCCCCTGCCACGCTGTCCTTCCTCAGAGCCCCTCCAGGAAGCCAGAATGTCTGTTTAGCTTGGGCATGACAGCGAGAGACTAGCCCCTGCCCAGGTATGTGGCCCAACCTCTACCTCTGACCTGTCTCTCCTATCGCTGAATGACACTGTCTCTTGCCCCCTCTAAATCTGCGTGTATGTACGTCCTGAGTACTTGCTCTTTATCTCTGTTCTCATTCTCTCTCTCTGCTTCTCTTACTCTTCATGTTCATGTTCTCTGTTTTACTATCTTCTCCCTCCCCTGTCCACTGTTCTTGTATTGGTCTCTCCGGCTCTCTCTCTGTTCACTCTCTTTCTACAACAAATACCCATGTCTGTCTGTCTGTCCAGCTCTGTCTGTACGACCCTTTCTCCATCCTTCCACCCAGCCCCCACCTCTCCTGGATGCCCCACACATTGGGAAGCCTACAGAATGTCACCCTGAGAGCGCCTGGAATATAATACAAATCCCGAGAACACTGGAAAGCATGACACAGATTGTAGTTGGAGGAAATATAGCTTGGTGATTTGAATTTCAGGAAGTTAAATTTCTACAAAATCTCTGGAGGTAGATAGGGTTCAGTGATTTCTCAGCTTGCAAATCCCAATGGTCTTAGAGGGGTAGGGTCAGGGCAGGTGAAAAGATCTTTTGAATTCTCAAAAAGTGATGGTTTGCAGCTGGTGTTGTTGTTGAAAAAATCAAGGACTGACCCAGTCCAGCCACCTTGGTGCCTAGTGATAAGGTCAAGTCTCCTGTCTCATATCTGGGTCCTTGGCAGTTGGACTTGAGACCATGTCTGTTGAGATAGATTCTTAAGGTGAAGAAGATTCTGGAATGGGGAGGGGGCAAGAAGGGTGGGAGCAAGTAGTTGCAGTTAGAGACCTTCAGGAGGGTCTCGGAGGGTCCAAGACCTGGAAGTAACCACTTGTCCTGCCCCTGCCGTCCCCGAGTCTCTAGAGACCTACTGGGTATTTCAGAGCTGCCATCTCACTGGTGACTGGCCAGCACTGGGAGGTGGCACAGTGCAGAGATGGGGCTGAGGGGAACCCTGCCCCTGCCCAGGACTCAAGAAGGCAAGAAACCAGTTTTTTCTCTACTTTTGAGACAAAAAGCATTGGCAGTGGGACACTGTGGCACTGGGCAGCCAGAGACCTGCATCCAATTTCTGACTCTGACCCTTGAAAGCTGAATAAACCTGGACTTAACCATGGTGCCTCTCAGTTTACTCACCCCTGAATTGGAGCAGGGGTGGGGGAGTTGTGAGGATTTATATAGCAGCCAAAACCACTTGTGTTTCTGCTGCCTGTTGTTCCCACGGGAACTAGCTAGTGCAATATCTCTTGGCTGGTTGGAGAAATGGAAGAGAGGAAGGGAGGAAGGATGGATAGACAGATGGATGAACAAAGGGATGGGTGACTAAATCAATCCTCTAAGAGTCAGTGGCTGGCGGACGATGCCATCATCTAGTTGCTAATATCTATACTTAAATAAAAGACATGCTGAATTGAATATAAAATTGCAAGAGCAAAAGTGAAGGAAAGGTGGAAACAGGGAGGAAAGAAAACTCATTTCATATGGCAAGTGGTGAGGAACCAAACTAACGGACTGTGATCTCCTCAGAGGTACTAAAACAGAGCAAACCTGGGGGAACCTGGGTTGACCCCGTGTTGGGGCAGCCTTACCTTAACATTTATAAATGCAGGACATGAGCCAAAAGGCAGGCCTGTGGGCCAAAAGACCCATAACAGGATTTAATTATACAGGAAGTAAAGAAAGGGAGAGCTGAGAGAGAATGAATTTACAGGCTGTCCATATGCTGTCTGTTAGGCCCCAGGGAGAATCCACTGTGCAGAGACTGAAGTCCTAGCCAAAGCTGCACATGGCAACCTGGCAACTTCTCGACATCCCTCCTAACCAGGAATTTAGCTGTCAAAAGCCCAGAGGTTTTCTGCCAAAAGTGCCAGCAGCTTAGCTATTAGAAGTCCTTTCAGTCAATTGCCAAGTCTCACAGGCTATACTGCCCAAAGCCCCAGATCCACCCTTTCTCCCATCAGCCTCTGCCAAGGGGGTGGAGTTTGGAAAGCTCCACCTTCTACCACTGAGTTGACATTAGTGGAGTCGAGAAAGCTCCGCCTTCTTCCATAGAGTTAGTTGGTTAAGAATTCCACCCATGGCCTTGGAGTTTGCTCCTCACTGTTCTTCTCACAGTACCTATTCCTTTAAATCCTTTTTGTGTTCATACTTCAGATAGTGGTTTCCAATTCAGTTTTTCTCTCTCCACAGGCTGACACTGACCCCAAGCTGTTCTTCATCTGGCCAGGATGAGAGTATCAGGTAGGACCAGTTCTGAGATTCCTAAGGCTCAGGTGTGGGGTCTGAATTTGGTTTGAACTCAGAGGTCATTTGGCCGTATCTGTTCTCAAATGATCAGGCTAGAATTTCAAAGGAAACCAATCCAGGGGGAGCCTGCAAGAGTGAAAGAGGTGACTTTCTACTCTAGGCTGAAGGGATGGAGAAATGCTGGCATAACAGCCCGCATGGCTGATATTATGGAGATTGGCCATATCTGGGAAATATCTGCCCTGGGTGGAAATTATGCCACAAGGGGCATTATGTCAGACTCTTCATAGCACAGGAGTTGGGTAAGAGGAGAGGCTTTTCCCTTCTGTTACATGCCCTCTTTCTACAGGTAGGGAAAAGGAGGCTCTGACTATGATACATTCATATCCCCAAACAACTGTGAGGGAATTAAGAGTATGAGATTTGAAGAAGGCTTACTTTCCAGGGTTCCAAGCCTACCTCTCACTTACTGGCTAAGTGACCTCTCCAAATCCTCATCTAGAAGATCAGTAACATCCAGCACATAGATTTATTGTGAACCAAACTGAAATAATATATGTAGAGCCATCCATACAGTGCCTGACACAAAATGAGTGCTGTATAAATGTGAGCTGATAACCAAGAGGAATACTGGGTGCCTGGAGCTATACTGTGCTCTCAAAGATGAGGAACCCCACATCTGACCCCACCCCACAGGATCCAGGGCCATCTCCCTGGCCCCAAGTAGCCAGAGGCCAGCAGAAGCTCACAGCTGAACTCAGGGCTGAGAAGCAGAATGAAGCTGGGGCGAGAGTATGGGGGAGAGGGGTGGGGGGCGGGGTTGTCAGGGGAATGGGGAGAGGAACTTCAAATTGATCCTGAAGGCAGTGTGGGCTACCAGAGTCCTGGGGCTACTGGGAAGTGAAATGGCCCTCAGAAGAGTGAGGTGAGGGAGTGGGATAGGAAGCTCTAGACAGCCCATCTGTATGGTTTACTTCCCAGGGGTGTATGGGGAGTCAGGTTGTTGGACCAGTCAGCAAAGCCAGTGTATGTCCCACAGGCAGCACTGTGTGATTACTTGTGGGGTCTTACAGAGACATGAATGAAAAATGAGGAACTGTCCACTCCCCCAAGCCAGCCTGGAGGCTGCCTCCTGGTGACAACTGCCCCCTCCCTCCCAGAATGTCATGACCTCAGTGGCAACGGCCTTACTGTGCCCTCTCTGTGACTAAGGGACTCCAGTTCATAGAGGCCAAGCCCTGCCCAAGGTCACACTGGGAGGTGGCTGCCACACCTGTGCCAGCTCCCTTCCCAGGGTCATCAGTCATAGGCCCTGCCTCCTACACTCCTGCCACCATTCTCAGACCTCAGGTCAGGGTGCTGGAGACAATAGCTGATTTCCAGTCATAAAAAATTCTCTCTCTGGAGAGCTAAGCAGAGCCCAGGAAGGCGTGTTGCTATCTTTCTTTTTGGTGGCCCCACTGTGGGAAATGTTTCCAAGTAATTTTGCCCCATGGCCTCAACACTTGGTCACCCTGTGGGTTCATACCTGGTCTCACCATGTGGTCCCAAGAACTGGTCCCTGGGGTGGGCATTAACTGGGCCTGCAACACAGGATGATACCATCCATTGGGGGGGATTTGGCAAGGGCCCTTGGGCAATCTTCCCACTAGAAGTGCTGATTTGTTCTCATGGCTACCTCTTTGCTGACAGGGATTCTTCGCACGCTGGTCCTCATCTCTGTCATGGCTATCACATGCATCTTTATCAGCACCTACACCAAATTCAACATGAAAACCTTCCACCCTCCCCGCTGGATCGGTGAGTAGGGCTGACTGCAAGGGGCAGGGCCCGTGGACCAGGGCTAGGGGTGATGAATCTACTTATCCCTCCACCCTTCTGGGTGGTGCTGGAGACATCTAGACATGGCAGGAATCCCAGTCACTGGGGACAGGGGAGAGGGGAATGAAAGAGGAAATCCCCAGGCTGTCAGGAAGAATGGAGCCCATAGGGAACAGAAAATGTTCCAAGCCCCTGTACCTATATCAAGGACAACTTTGGAAATGTGACTCCAAGAAGGAAGGCAGGAAGATAGAGGGAAGATGATGAGAGGGAGGGAAGAAGGGAGAAAGCTGTCAGCATTGAGTGGCTTGTGTTAGTTCTTGCTATTTCCTCTGCCTGAAACCCTCTTCACATGAATGTCCCTGTGGCCAGCTCTTCCTTGCCTTGGGTCTCTGTTCAGATGTTACCCCTCAGAGAGGCCTTCCCTAACCATGCCCAGCTCCAACCATGCCCCTCCCGCTACTTCAACTGCTGCTGCCAGCTAATCCCTTCAGAGTGTCACTGTCACTCTTCTTTTTGCTGTTTATTTGGTGTTGGCCTTAGAATGTGAGCTTTCTGAAGGCAAGAAGTTTATCTCATGTAGATCCATCTTTCGAGCACTTGGTGCAAAATAGATCCTTAGTAAATATTTGATAAAAGTCAGGAAAATGGAGGCTGAATGGGTGAATGGGGAGAGGGTGAGGTATACAAAGACTCTTTTGATCTGTATAAAATCCCCACGGGATGATCTACAATGTGCCTGTGGAATGCACTTGTGTGTCATTCTATGTATGGTCTGAGAAAATAACAACACAGGGATTTTTTTTTTAATAATAGTTTATTTTTACATCATTTGGTGCATTTTTTCATCTCAGTTATAATCCCCGTGGGCTTCCCATCACCAAATCACCCACGTGCCATCACCATGGTCCAATGCATTTCCCTCCCCCCACTGTTTTTGATCCCATTCCCCCATAAGATGTCTCTGGTATATGGCTGTTCATCATTACTATTTTCTCGCCTAGTTCGTTATACTCCTGCTTTGAGTGAAACCATCCACAGGATTATTTTTTAAAGTGCCTAAATTCCTCTTGCAGATATTAGAACAATAATGGGAACCCAGATCTCCCAGACCCAAATCCTTCAAAGGATTTCCCTCTGTATCCCCCCCCCCCCCGTTAGAAACCAAGAACCACTTACACTGTCACAGCCAAGCATGACATATAGTGACCCAGACTAGCTCCTGGTTCCCCAAAGTGGGGAGAAGCCAGTGCCCCATCTTTAGCACACACTGCCCCACAGTGGAGTGTCAGAGACTCCTTACCTCACCCACTTCTTGCCCACACCCATGTCAGGATGGTTTATATGGATGAGGTGGCCATGGTGACCCAGCCTGTGGCACTGCTTTCAGACCAGAGATTGATCAACTGTGCAGTAGCCTTGGAGGAGTGGACTCAGGTCAGGCTAGGAGGCTCGGAGCCTGTGTGGGCTCAGGAATGTCCTCAGAAAGAGAGGAGAATGTTGAAAGGAGAACATCAAAGAGGTTTCCTTCTCAGAAATCAGCAACCCGGGCTTTAATGAATCAACACCTCCAACTAACAGTCACCAAGCAGTCTCCCTGATTGATCCCAGAGACCCCTCCAAAAGAGGAACACATGGTCTCCAGCTCATGGTCTGAGTCAGAGAAACAAATAGATTAATTACAGAATGCACAAAGCCACAGGTGACTGAGAAGGGAGGAAGGCCTGAGGCAGCAGGAAGTGGAGCCCAGCAGCGAGCACGCACCGGGGGTTTGTTCATTTACCCCAGAAGTTTCTGACCTGGTTGCACACACCCCAAGTAATTATTGAATGTACTAATAACGAAGAAGAGATATGGCTGTAACACGCATGCATTGCTTGTTTGTTATTATAGTAACACATAATTTCCTTTTTTAATCTAATCTATGTTGTTTTATGCATTTTGTAACTTGCCTTCTGTTAAATAAGCTAGTGTCCGTGTCTCAGAGAAGTGGAAGTAACTTGACTCCAAGGGTGGTTTTTTTTTTATGTTTATTTTTTTTTATTAAATTTAATTATTTGTTTTCTTTCAGCATTGTTAATTCTTGCACAGCATTTGGTTCTTCCCCTCAGTGCACTCCCTGGAGTTTTCCTGTCCCCAAATCAACCGTGATCCGTCACCACGGTCCCTTGTGCTCTTCCCTCCCCTGATTGATCCTCCCTCTTCCTCCCCTGCTTTATGACTTAGATCTCTGGTCACCTTGCAAACTTTGTCTTTTTACAAGAGTTGTTTTCAACCACCGAAGGGGTCCATGGCATAGAAATCAGGAAATTACAAATTCTCCATTTTGCTGGCACATTAAGCATGGTGTTTCAGCTTGAGTGACAGGTCTAACTCTGCCTTGCATTAAAGAAAAAAAAAATGGCATGTCTTGACTCAGGTAGCTGGGACTTAGGTTTGGCTGGATTTAGGGTCCTCCATAAAGTCCCCAGAATCTGTCCCTGTGTCCCTGGGTCTGCTTGTTGCTACCTCACCTCATTCTCAGCTTCCCTCTGAGCTGAGAGAAGCTGCCTCTCTCCCCAGCCATGTGACTGCTGCCTCCTGCCACCTCCCTGTGGGGCTGGGGAGGCCGGGGTAGCGACACTCCAAGAGAGATAGCCCCCCGAATTGAGTAGAAAGTGTGTGGGGGTCCCCTAAAAAGGAGGACACACTCCCCAGCATCTCTATGTCCACTGGAGGCCCTGTCCTCTAGACCCACCACCGGTGTGGCAGGAGATCTGACCTAGAACAACAGAAACAGCCAAGGCGGCAGGAAGTGCCTGCAGCCAAGAAGCCCAGGCCAGGCAGTTGGTGCAGCTGCAAGTCAGGAGAGGAGCCTGGACTCTGCTGAGAAACTAAGCAGCAGGTGGCCAGGGCACTGGGTGCTGAGCTAGTTTACTGTATCATCCCTGCTCCCTGTGAGGGCAAATGTCATCCCCTGCTGTGTGGTCAAGGAGCTGAGGCCCTGGAGGCTAAAGCAGGCCCAAGCTGCAGTGGGTCCAACAACAGAGCCGTGCGTGCGTGCGTGCGTGCGTGCGTGCGTGTGTGTGTGTGTGTGTGTGTGTGTGTGTGTGTGTAGAGGCGGCTGCAGTGTGAGCAGACTCACAAAGGAGATGGCTCATGAAATAAATAAACATGAATGTTGCAACATGAACTAGAGGGTCCTCAGGCCAAAGCCACTCTAAGGTTCCTCTTCCTACACCCCAGCCCCAACTTTCAACCTGCAAAGGGTGGGGTTTGGAGGGGCAAATCTCTTTCTCTAACAAGATTCTGTTCTCTCCAACAGGTGGGGCCCCCAAGGAGAAGCGTGAGTACCCACTCAGCCCCCATTGCCTTAGCATGAGGTGTCTCAGGTCTCGCCTCCAAGTCCTGTGGTCCCCCAAAAATCTTGTTTCCCAGAGTGTGCCCGGCTCTCTCCTCCTCATGCCCAAAAATGCCTTTTGAGGGCCCTGAACAAAGTGGCTGAGTGCCCTCTCTCAGCCAGCTGGAGGTGTACACTGCTTGACTGTCCCCTTCCAAGGTCACCTTCCTTGCAATCTGGACCACACCCGGCCCTGCCTCCCCTCACAGCTGCCACCCCTGTAGTGCTTCCTCCCTTCTCCCCTCCCCAGCTTGGAGGCCAAAAATGGAGTCTATGTTTATTACCATCACTACAGTGACGCCTCCCATCACCCCCACCAGGCCTGGTTCGTAGTTCATGTCGGGCTCTGCAGGGCCCCCAGAGACACCCAGAAGCTAGTTATCCATTGGGGTAAAAGGGCCAAGTGTGCCAAAAGAGGTGGGGAAAGTGTTCTGAATTCCAAAAGGGACAACTCTTTCCAGTGGGAACGGGGGCCACAGAAAATACCAGTTTTTCAGCTGTGCCTTACAGAAGAGAGGTTGGCTACCTAAAGACCAAGAGTCAGGAGGGCCCAGGGCTCCAGGGAAGACCTTGGTGAGACAGTTGGGGAGTAAAGAGAGTGCTGGAGGACAGGCATGGCACTCGGAGATGCGTGAACAGGGTTTCGGCACATGCGCATGCGCTAGTGCTGAGCTGGTGGAAGGGACGATTATAGTAACATTGCCTGGTGCCTGCTATGCGTCAGACGCTGCTTTTAGACCTGCAATGGCATCTCATGCATCCTCACCACAAACCTACGTAGGCGCTGTAACTGTCTCATTTTATGATGAGGAAACTGAGGCTCAGAGGGTGAAATCTCTTGACCACGGCCTGCTGACGGAGCAAGACCTCCCATCTAGATCAGAGCCCTCTCTCTCAACACCACTCTACCGGGGGCAACACCTCCAGGTCTTCCCTCTCCTTCCGCAAACTGGTAGACTATGAAAAGGGATGCAGCTCCAGGAGCAGGGCATGGGAATCCCGGTGGAATTATAGTGTAACAGCTCTAAGAGTCCACATAAGTCTTTCCCGCACATCCTCAACCCCATCTCTTGGAAGCCTCGAGTCATACGCTGAAGTGGACATAGATGGTCCCCACGTCTTGGTAGTGAACAAACACTCAGACATTAGCTGCTGGAGGGATGGCAAATCCAAGCACACTGCTGCCTTCCACCTGTCCACCCCGAGGTAGACATCACCAATCCATCCCAGCAGCCTTTCCTCCTACCCCACTCCTGAGGTAGACATCACCAATCCATCCCAGCAGCCTTTCCTCCTAGCCCACTCCTGAGATAGACATTACCAATCCATCCCAGCACACCTTTCCTCCTAGCTCACTGCAGCCTCAGATTATTGTGAAGCTTCTAATAGTAGGTTCATTGACACTGAAATTGGCCAGAGGGGGCCATCTCTGGCCAGTCACAGAGCAGATCACTGGGAGTGCAGAACAAGTGTCCTGACTGCACCCCATCCAGTGCCCAGCTCCGTGCCCTAACCAACATCATTAGGATTTCCAGAGGAGCTGGGCAGCTGATGGGCACAGTCCTCCCCGCCTGAGCCCAGAAGCAAATCCCTTGCCTCCCACTCACTTGGTCCCATGTGCCTCGTCTCCAGTCATCCCTGAGACCATGGTCAGAAAATCAATTTCAGAAAAGCCTGCTTAAGCCGACCTGCTGGCACCAGGTTTATCAGACTTAGCTGCAGTTGTTTAGGTGCTGGGTAAACTCTAGGCATGGTCCCAGAGGCCTAGCGTAATCCCTCGGCAAAGGTGAGGACCTCTGCTTTCACAAATAAACTGACTTACCCCGGTAGGGGCAGTGGCCTGTGGTGAGGCCCAGGGCCCAGGTGGTGAGGCTCACCGCAGATGCAGCGCCCTCACCAGCACCATTTCTCAGCCAGCCCCTGGGTCGCGGGCTCCCTCCAGAGTTTGGGGAAAGGGAGTTGGGTCACATCCCCTTCCCAGCACTCTCCCCCTGGAGCCCCAGGCCTGGATACCCACCGCCTTCTGAGCAGCCCCCGTGAGTGCCTCCCCTGTGGCCCTTGCCTGGTGACAGTATCCTGCTTGCACCAGTGGGGGCTGTGCTCAGAGTCGACATGCTGAGGGCAGCGCCCACTCCTAGGAAGGGGCATTTACCTATTCATAGGTGCCATGAGGGTGGCAAGCCTAGTGGCAGTGGGGTGTGGCCCCCTGATTCAGTGAAAGTCCCTGTAGGCTAGCAGGTGCCCTGAGGCCCTAATGACCCTGACTACGTGGTCCCTTCTAGCTCCACCCCAATGCTGTATGTCCACTCAATAGCTACTTCTGGATGCCTACTACATGCCATACTACTGGCGTCACTGGGATAATTTACCAGAATACATATGAAGTGCTCTGTGCCTAGCACATAACCCCCTTGGGCATACAGCTTTTATCAGGAAGCCTGTGGGTTTGCTCCGAGCATTCATCAGTGGAGCTCAGCCAGGGGGCTGGCACAGGGGCTGCGGGGAGAGAGAAGCTGCCCCATCACCATTTTCCAGGGGCACGTTCTCTAACTCCATGTTTGCCAATCCTCCCTAATGGTACCTGAACTGTCAGGTAGTATTAAAAACACGCATTAATATAAATTAGAACTGTCAGGCAGAAAGCATAGGTGATAGTGCAAACTGGCAAGGAGCCCGCTGAGGACTGAGTGGATAAGCAGCTGTGTTTGGGGGTTCCATCGGCATGTACCCGCATTCCCAGGCCCCCAGGGTTTGTCCTGTGAGAGCTTGTGAAGGGGACATGGCTCTGAATAACAGTCACAGGAGTCAGGAGCCGTGGAATGAGTCCTCGGTAGGTTCTGGTACCTCCAGCTGGATCCATGTGGTATCCCAGGGTCTAGGTGCCCAAGAATTGAACAAACGAATGAATGAATAGCCAGTGGGCACTGACCATTAACCTGGGCTCATTTATTCCTCACAAGAACCAAGTGGGGATCATGACTCCATTTCAGATGAGGAAGTTGAGATGTAAGGGGGTGAGGACTTGCCCAAGGGCACCCAGAGTTGAGAGGTGCTCCCCCTTTTTAAAAAAAATTTATTTATGCTTGCAGAAATGAGCGACAGGCCAGAGTATGGTGGGTGAGAGGACTCACCAGACAGAGTGGGGAGCAGAACAGGCAGACTGACAAAGTACACTGCCGAGGGGAGCAGTGGGCAGGTCAGAAGTCTGTAACGCCGTGTGGATCAGCTCCCTGGATGGGGATCGAACTCGTGCTGCAGTGGCTTTGGAGAGCTTCATAATGTGGGGCTTTAACCCATTGTGCCACCACGGAGACCCCTGGGGCCTATGTTGAATTACCTGGGGCTATGCTAGGGCTGGAGCTGTGCTAAGAAGCTCAAAAATAATTCTGGGTGGTCAGACCATGGTCAGCATCCTGTGCCTGTGTTGGGGCGTCGGTGGTACTGAGGGAGAACAGAAGGGGGCAACCCCCTGGCCTTAAGTGGTCAGCAAAAGCTTCTTGGGGAGGAGGTGGCTGAGCTGGAGTCGCCCCTGTCCCCTCCTCCCTCAGGTTCCTTCCTAGCTGCTGCCACTAAGGTTGGTCTGTTTCTTCTCCAGCATTGATGAAGACGAAGTGTGGCCTCCTCAAGACCTGTGCAGCCAACTTCTTTGCATTTAAAATGAAGAGCGGGGCTGCCAACGTTGTGGGTCCCTCCTTGTGCTTCGAAGACCAAACGTAAGCACGTTTCTTTCCTTCTTTATTAATTGAGCTAACGTTGGTTTGCATTGCTGCTTGTGTTTGGGGAGCATAGCACCCCACTTCAGGTACTGTTGCCGCAGTGCACCCACCACCAAGCTCCTGTGCTCCACCCCCAAGACCATCCTGTTCCATCCCCTCCTCTTCTCACCCCCTGCACCTCCCCTGCCCTCAGGCTTCCTTCATTCACAAGCAGAAGCAGAGGCTGCAGGCCTAGCGATCTGCTGAGAAGTCACCCCGACTGAAGGGAGAAGGAGCGTTTTCCCCAGGAATGCCACAAAACGGGCAGAACGCCAGGCAGGCAGGAGCACAACTCGGTTCCACCTGGGGATCCCAGAGGTCAAGGGATGGCAACGACCTCGGGGCTCTGCCTTCCTCCAGGCCAGCAGGCCTCAAGGCACCAGGAGGAGGGCTAGCTCTGCCTGCCAGCACCTCAGAACCCCAAGTGGGTATCTTCCCTCTTGTCTGAGCAGACTGTTCTGGTCCCAACATGCTGTGAGGGAGTTCTGAGAACACAGCCACCCCTTATTTCCAGGAGAAAGCAGGTGGCCCACATTTTTCTTGATGCTTCTGCGCGGTGCCCGTGAACCCGTGTGGAGTACCAGTGTCGTGAACCCGTGTGGAGTACCAGTGTCAAAAGCAGAGTGTTTGTTCCACCCTCAGGACCAACAGTTGTTTTGTCTTCCTTCTTCAGCATCATGAGTCCTGTGAAAGACAATGTGGGCAGGGGCCTGAACATCGTCCTGGTGAACGGTGAGTTAACAACTCATTGGCCCCGCCCCATGACAGCTCCAGCATGATTATAGCACAGGAAGGGGGTTGCCGAGGGAAGTCATTGCCCCTTTATCCCGCCAACATTGCCTCAGCTCCTGCTACTTCCAGGCATCAATCCCATAGTGCTCAAGGGGGACACCTGGCTGGCCTAACACAGCTGATGCCGCCTTCAGTTCCGCCAGCCGCCTGCCCCCTGCATCTACCTCAGGAGGCTATGCCCTTCCTGTGACACATGACACCATCCTCAAACTGCCCCAGCCCAAACCAGTGCACAGGGACAACCAATGACATTGTAAGATTACAAATTGAGTGCCTGTCTTCATTCATTTATTCACTCAAAAAAATATCAATAGTAGCTACTATTGTCTAGGAAAGGGCCCTAGACAAGGTGCTGGGGGTCAGCCATGAATTAGAAGGTTTCAGATCCCCTTCAAGTAGCCATGAAATTATAATCAATCACAATGTAATGAGTATCTATGGAAGAGAAGGAAGCACAGCTATAGAAGCGAGGTGTGGGGGCAGTCAGGGGAGGCTTCCTGAGGGAGGCAATCGATGAGGTCTGAAAATGGTAGGAGCTGGTCAGGAGAAAAGTGGGGCTGTTCCTTCCAGGCAGGCACGACCTTATATAGAGAGCAGGGAAGAGAAGAGAAAAGAAGGCCCTTAGGAGCGTGGGAGGGGTGCATACAGGTTCTTTCTGGCAGCAGCTGGCAGTGGTGAGAGACAAGGCTGAGGGTGGCTGGGTTGCTAAGGAGTGTCAATCTGAAGCAAAGGGAATAAGAAATCCTTGAAGATGCTTTGAAGACTATTAAGAGCTAGCTGACATTTCAGAAACCTTCCAGCTTACAGTATGGAAGCTAGAGGCAGAGAGATGTTGGAGAAGAAGGGGAAAACCCACAGTCTCACTAACCCTGCCTCTAGTGGTGTTGACCAAGAGGTCAACTACATTGTGCCTGGCACATTTCTCAGGAGAGAGTGGAGCTTCAGGGGCCACACAGGACAGGTGGTCTGGCCCCAGGCAAGACCCTCCTCTCTGCCTTTAGCTCTTAAATGGTGAACAAGGGCTATTTCCCTGCATCTAAGGGCCATTCCTGGGATAAGTGTCAGAGCAAATGGCAAAAAAGGCACAACAGGCTCTTAGGAGGGAAATAGTAATGGCTGTGTGTAGCACAACCACATGACTGCACTTACGAAGTGAGGCTGAGAATGGAACCCTGGGCTTGCCAGTGGCAAGTCCCTGCACTTTACTCCTTGAGGAATAACCCCCCCCCCTTAGAAAGTCTCTGGTTCAGAGAAGAAGTCAAGGCCTGAGGCAAAGATGGAGCCTTGCTGGAGTGGGGTGAGAGGGCAGCTATGCCAGCTTCCTAGGGGCCAAAGAAAGGCCAGGAAAGTAGGGAAAGGGGGCCTACTTCTCTTCAGTGGCATGCGGGTTGCTCAGAGTGGTCTCAGAGTGTTATCAGTTTCCAGGTTCTTGATCTCTCCAAGACACAGAAATTACAGGGACTCTAGTCCTGCAGGTAGCAAACAAGAATTTATTAAAACATACGCAGTTCAGGCTCAGGGCGTCAGCACCAGGGACAGGGTCCGAGTGCTGCTTCCCCAGAGAACAGTGGAGGCTCCATTTAAGCAGTTTTAACCTGGCAAAATTAAGGGGCTAGAGTCCTTTCTTTGTTCTTCCTTCCAGGGGTCATTCCATCTCTTGAACCCTATCTTCTTGTGCCCATGACCTCTTACCAGTAACATGGTGGATTCCGGATCATCAGCCTAGAAGGGCTATTTGCCTAGGGGTATATCTAAAGTATGTATTGGGGAGAGGTTCCTTCCTAGAAAGACAGTCACTATCTGATTGTGGGTGCCTGACCTGGCCCCACATCTCCTGTGGAGAAATGCTCCTTTCTAAATAATAATGACTGGGTTGGCCCGAGCCTGAGTCATTATTGAGGATGATGGAACTTCTGGAGACTCAGGACACAAGAGCACTTAAGGCCTGATAGACCCCCCCAAAGACTATAGGAGCCTCAGTTTGCACTGACTGCCCCCTCAGTCTGCATTCCTCCTTCACACACACTCCTCCACCCCAGAGAGGAGAGTAGGAATGGCTGGATCTTCAGCTGCCCTGGCTGAGCCACGCTGTCCGCTCTGCCCTCAAGTGGACCCTGCTGGAGAAGGCCTCTCTGAATAGGCTTGATTACTTGGGCTCAGATTAGGGCCTACCTCCTGCCCTTCAAAAGCCCAAAATAAAAACAACTGCCAATAACATCAAATGCTCACTGAGCTTTACTGAGTGCTGCCTTCCTTTAACTTTCTCACCTTGCTGCATCCCGTGCTGCAGGTAAGATATGGGGGCTCGAGTAGTTTAGGCAACTTGCCCACGGATGCCCAGCCAATGGAATCACCTAGATAGATTTGACCCTGGATCTGGCTAGGCCCAGATCTGAATCATTCAGCTGAAGTAGCTCTCTACACTAGAAATGTCTCCAGGCACCTGCCCCTGCCAGCTAACAGGTCACTTTTGGGCCGCAGGCCTCACCTGTACAATGAACAAACAACCGTTTTTAAAAGATTGCTAAACATTCATGGTTCTTGCCCTTTTAAAGAGCAGAGTTTCCTTGAAAGTGTTCCTCCCCCTATTCTGGAAATTTCACAGCAATGTCAGTTTCCAAGTGTCCCAGGTGAGCTGAGGTGCTCCTTGGGTTTGGATTTAAGTGACTGAGAACCTAGAGGAGCTGCAGAGTGAGCCAGCCTCCTCCCAGGAGGAGAGCTACCTAGGCTCAAGCCCTAATCCCCACCCTCTTCAGTAATCTGCAAACTGCAGTGGGGGAGGGAAAAGGGGGAACGTGGTGCCCATCCCCTCTGCAACACCTCCATCTAGTGGTTCAATGTGTGAACTGCAGCATTTGTCCTGGACACCTGGTTCCCTGTAGGACCGTGTATCCTTTGTTAAAATCACAGGCCACAATTCAGATTACCCAACTCTGGACACTAACTAATTCAGCTCACTGCAAAGCCCTTTGCTTGAATAATTGGAAGACTCAAATTGCAGATGTCTTATTTAACGTAGGAATGATGATTTAACGCAGGAATGATGATGATGATGATTGTATTTTTATTACTATTTTGCAGCTAAAATTTATCTCATGTGCTTACTGTTTAAACTATATTTCACTTGAAGCCCATTCTACAGACACAAAAAATAGCATCAAAATTCTTTGGTGAAGGCTACAATTGGACTTTTCACAGTGAACTTAATGTAGTGCACATCATATTGATTTTCACTGATGCATGCCTGAAAATTGTATAATGTTACAATACAGTGTCACTTCAATTTAAAAAATGAAGATCATAATGCTAAGTCGTGCATTAGGAGGCGACCAGGCAGAACCCAGAGCCCACACCATTATGTTCTAATACCTCCCAGATCAGCCCAGTTGTTATCATGCACCAACTTTAGTCCTGTATGCTTTCTGTAGCACCTGACTTTATTCCGGTTTTATCCTATTCTTAGATCTCAGTCTAAAGAATAGCCACTTTCTGGAAAATGACAGGCAGATTGATACATCACAGGAAATAACAGTTCCATTCTTTCATCCCTTAGGAAGCTCCGGGGCCATACTGAAACACGACTCTTTTGACATGTACTCTGGAGGTAGGCACCTCTGTTGGCAATGAAGTTAGGTGGGTTGAGCTACTTCCTGTGGCAGGAGAGCCCTGGGATGCTGGGGTGCTTGGCTTTTTGTTTTCCATGGAGGCAAGGTGGGGCTTGAAGATCAGGCTGCTGCCTTTGAAACTGCTGCATTCACTGGCTCTCCCTGATGCCGATCCTGAGGAAAGGGTTCATGTGCAAAGTTTATTCTCAAGGGTCGTCACTATGGAGTTGGGAGTGAGACAGGAAATGGAGGCAGCCAGCGCCTCATGGCATCAAGCCATTGACTACTGCAGCATTTGTAACTCCAGAGCCAATGTCCAGTCAAATGCGTACCTCAGAGATATCCTGTGGGGGTAAGGATACCCCCCAAATTCCTTGGCCTCTCAACACATCTTGCCTGCCCCAGCTTGCAAAGTAAGATCTGGAGGCCAGCGAAGACTTTCAGACAAAGAAACCCCCAGGAATGGCTATTGGGCACTCAGGCTTATGCACACCAAATGGCCAAGGATAAGAGCGCATGGCCCAGCTTGCTCTAGGTAATGGGTATCATCTTTTAAGACACAGAGGTCTCTGGCAGGCCTAGGATAAAATCAAAGCCTCCCAAACTTTATCCCAGAAATGATAACTCAAATTGCAGTTCTTGCATGGGATGTCTTTCAGCTCTCTCTGCACAGACCTGTTTCTGGACATCTTTCTGCACATGACCTCCCTTTAGGGAGTCTGTCCTTTTGGCCCTTAGCCTAGCCCTGTGATGGGTCACTGACCTGGGCTCATCTAAGTTCCCAGCAGCAGCTTCTTCACTCTCAGGTCCCAGAGAAAAGCTTTAGTTGTGGGGGAGACTAACAACAACCCTCTAAACCTTCCAAACTGGGGTACAGCACTCCTTTATGCACCCACTGTCCAGCTGGCCACTGAACGTCCCTCCAACACATCTTTGCTCAACGTGCAGCAAAAACACACAGGGCAGCCTGTTGAGGGAAGCGCAGCCCTGGAAGGATCAGGCCCAACCCCTCTCAGTGCAGTCTGACTCAGTCTGCCTCCCCTTTCCCTGCCATCAGGGTGCTGAGCAGCCTCTTACCTCCAGAGGCCCAGGTGACACCTCTTGAGCCTCAATTTTGTCACCTGCACAATAGAGCCATAGTGTCTACTTCCTATGACTGACGTGATGGCTGGTAGAGCAACCCCGGGAGATTGAGTTTTCTCGCTTCTCAGACCTTCTCCCTCACTCCAACCATGTGATTCAGAAGCTAGGGGGAGAGTATCATTGGATGGAATGAATAGAGGAAAAAATGATTCAGAGGATGAAATTCAGTTTGGTAATAGTTTATCATGTCGTGGGGAACAGAAGCACTTCAAGCACAAGCCGTCCCTTCCCACAAGACACCAAAAAGGATGATGACTATTTTTTTATATTTTTTAGCTTTTTACTATTTTTTTTAATAATATAACAGTTTATTTTTACATCATTTTGTACATTTTTTTATCTCAATTGTAATCCCCATGGGTTTCCCATCACCGAGTCACCCGTGTGCCATCACCATAGTCCCGTGCACTTCTCCCCCCCCCACCCCACCCCCGTTTTTTGATCCCATTCCCCACTCCACCCCCACAAAATGTCTCTGGTATATGGCTATTCATTATTCTTATTATTTTCTTACCTGGTCTGTTATACTCGTGCTATGAGCAAAACCAAAGGATGATGACTTTTTAAAGTGAGAAGATAATTAACAGAAGTCACATTTCATTTCTTCCAGATATGTCCTGTCCGTCCAACACTTTAGTGAGATCTTGATATCTGCTAATGGACTTTCAGAACACCCTCTTTTTGTCTCCAGAGTTCAAGGGCCCTTTTGGTGTACATAAGCCTGCTGTGGAGACTGCTTAGAGGCTTGTCCCTGCCTGTTGATCTCACCCAAGGGCCCTTAGACCCTTCATTCTCACAGCGCCCCATCACCGCCACCCCCACACATACACACGTAAGAACCATCTGTGTCCGGAGCCCAGCCCCGCCCCCTGGTTGAGGGCAGCACTGAGCTCTCCCCCAGGACAAGGGCAGCAGAGCTTCCCCGGGAAGCCTCCTCTGGTAGAAGTTCAGGTTGGCCTCCAGATCAGGCAGCAGGGAAAGATCGACAATCATCAACTGTTTCCCCTAGATGATGTTTTTCCTTCCTCCCCCAGATCCTCTGCTTCTGCTGAAATTCCTTAAAGAAATTCCCGACGGCGTGCTGGTGCTGGTGGCCTCCTACGATGACCCAGGGAGCAAGTGAGTGGAAACCTCATGCCTGGCCACACACAGGTGATGCCGCACGAACACGTCACGTCCCAAGTGTCCCTCCCACAGGCCCCCTCCTCCGGCCACTTCCAGAGAAATAACCAGACGGTGGTGTACACGGTGGCCAGGGGGCCATCACCCATTTGGTCACAACAGTGGGAGACTGGAGACACGCCCTGTCCCCTGAGAGCCAGTGGCTACAGAAATTGTGACATGCTGTGACAGAGGGCCTATTGTTTTATATTTAAGACAGAGTGAACAGCCTTGAAAATGATGAGGCTGAAAATATTTAAGCACAGAGAAGAATGCCTACCTTGGGGTGAGGAGAAGTTATGAAAGGATGTTCTTGCAGGGCATGCATGGCAGCAAAATACAAGGAAAATACATGAACATTTTCCAGTGATGATGTCAGGGGGGGTAAGATGGTAATTTTTGGTTAGTCTACGACCAAAGGAATATATATTGTTTATCATGAATGCATGTCACAGCTTCAAATGAATGTATGTTGTAAGTGAAAGGAGAAGGAAAACTTTAACACCTCTCAGCCCCTCTGAGTGGCCTGCAGGGGGGAGTCCTTGCTGTCCCGCCTTGTTTCTCCTGAGGGGGGCGCAGCTGCTGCACACAGAGCGGGGAGGGACACTCACCCATCTCCCAGAGCTCCATCTCTTCCCTCTCATCCTCTGCAGACTGAATGATGAAATCAGGGAGATCTTCTCCAACTTGGGCAGTAACTATGCAAAGCAACTAGGCTTCCGGGACAGCTGGGTCTTCTTAGGGGCCAAAGACCTCAAGAATAAAAGCCCCTATGAGCAGGTAAGTTCATGGAGGTCTCCCCAAGCCACAAAGGGGAGGTGGGGAGTGTGCCAGGGATAGGTGGACATGGACTGGGGCGGCTTGGGAAGGACCCACAGGGCAGTGTAGGGAGGACCATCCCAGAGGTCAGGGGACCAGCTGGCCAGTGCCCCAGGAGTAAGTGGCCTTGACCAATCTTCAAAGAGGTGGCTCGTATATAAATGTATAGATATATAGGTAAGTACCAAAAAGGATAAAGAAGGATGAAAGAAAGCGAGGGATGGCAGAAAGAGAAAGGAATGTAGAAATGAGACCTCTGTGATGGAGCAAGAGACCCTGAGCCGGGTGCCTGCTCCCAGCCGTGACCTTAGCCAAGCCCCTTGTTCCCTAGTCTCCCCACCTGTAACAGGGAGGTTCGGACTGGGGAGCCTCAAGGCCCTTTCTAGTGTCCCTGTGGAGTTGGGGGCTTGCACCAAAAACAACACACAGCAGAACCAGAAACCTCCCTGAGTATGTGGAAGAAGTAGGAAGGGTCCAGAATATAGGGATGCACAGTCACAACCCAGGGCTGACCCAAGCAGAGGGGTCTGAGAGGCACCCAGAAGTGGAATTTGAGAAGCACTCACAGGAGGAAGACCCCCAGCGAAAAGCTGTACCCTGTCCCCCCTCCCTCATACTCCCCGCTCCCCCTCCCCCCACCCCTGCACACACACCAAGGGGCAACTCATCTCTCCATCCCCAGCTCAGAGCAATTCTGAATGCTGGGAAAAACCAGCCAGGTCTTGCCCAGCATGCAGTAGTCCAGTCTCTGCTGGTGAGATCATTCCTTTCTTCCCAGATACCATGATGGGGATCTGTGATGGGTAGATACTTCATAAAGGGCTACTGACGAGAGTGAACTCTGCCTGAAGGCAGTGGGCGTCATGGAAGGCTTCAGTAGGGGAGCACCAAGAGCAGAGTGTCCATAAGAAAGCCCAGCGATGGCAAGTACTTGCTCTGTGCAGGCTCAACCGAGCCAGCCCCATGCAGGGCCTCAGTTAACAGCACAGACCAGGACCCAGAGATGTAGGCCCAGCGGCTGTCTGAGGCCTTGGGCTACTTAGGCCCAGCTGCCTCCAGCAGCAGACTCAGCACTGACACTTTGAGAACTGCTCCCTGGCTGAGCGAGGAGAAGGATGTGGTAGGGGCAGGGCAGGGGGCTGACGCTGTCATCCAATGAGAGCTACCCTGGGGGCTGTGCAGGGGGGCTGCCTCTTCCGGAAAATGTTGCCTCTGTACGTATGTCTATGCTTCTAAGAGAAGGAATAATGTCATTGGAAAGTTCAAAAGAGAGGGTTCTGTTACTCCCAGGGAGTGAGGGGCACAGGGTGCAGGGCTCCAGGGGTCACTGTGGGAAGTGCTACAGGTGGGGCTTGAGGCTGCAGTGGTTGGGGGTGTGGGGCTCTGCTCTTTGTTACAGCATTGCTTCTGGAGCCCGCAAATCCAGGCCAGGACAGCAAAGAGGAAGCAATACAGAAGTCAGTTCCATCTTCACCTCATGCTTATGATCAGCTGTCTGGAACCCAATAGCCCAAAACGAGCAAAAGGGCACAATGATTAAAACTGCACATGGAAACTGGCTTTTAGCAAAGCAGTTACCTAAAACTTTTTGCTAGAACTTCCTTTAAAAAAAAATTTACTTATATGGAACTGGGGTACAGGCCAGAGGTGCAGGGGTGAAAGGATTCACCAGAGACAGAGTGGGGAGCAGAACAGGTGGATCTACTAAAACACACCGCTGAGGGGAGCAGCAGAGGTCTGCCAGGCCATGTGGGTCACCTCCAGTTGTTCTACCATGTGCCAACTAAGTGGCCACTATGGCCTTCAGTGTTTCCATCTGGACAATGGATGGGCAATATGTCCTTCTATTCCTTCTAGGGCCATTGTGAGGATTAGATACAGACACAGAGCAACTACTCAAGAATTACTAGGCTTGCTCCTTTTATTCTTCTTATTTGGGATCTCCTGAAGGGACTGATGAAGATTTGGGGAGAGGAGCTAATGCTCTCCAAATGCACTTCTTTCTTGGTGCCTCCCAAGGCATAACTGGCAGTGGCCAGGCTCTGACCCCATCTCTGAAATCTCAGGAAAGTAACATCCAGCTCCGACCTGTGGCTGTGGCAAGGGTGCAGTGAAGACTTCAAAGCATATGCAGGCGCAGGTCTGCATCCAGAACAGCCCCACTCCCCCCCACCACCAGGGTTGATGTTTCTCGCTCTCCTCTCCCTAGTACTTAAAGAACAACGCAGACTTTAACAAATACGACGGCTGGCCGGAGATGCTAGAGATGGAGGGCTGTGTGCCCAGGAAGGTATTTTAGGATGGTAGCAGCTCTGCCTACCTCAAGACCTGAAGAAATCCCCCGACTTGGGAGCGCGAGCCCCAAGGCTCTGGACTGGACGGCAGGGGCCTGCAGAGAAGGAAGCGGAGCAGCAGAATGGAAACTGTCGAGTAGCCCACGCTGTGCTTTCCCCTTGAGAAACCTCCCAGGACTGAAGCCCCCTGCTGGTGGTCATCTGTGGCGAGAACAGGTGGGTCTCCCGTGGGGCTGCCGTACTTGGCCCACACTGCCCACGCCTGAGCACAATTAAATTTTATTTTTGCTGATTTTTGCATGAACTTTGAGTACTGCATGTGCACGTTTCGCCCTAGGGTGTTCTGGTTCTGACTGGCTTTGCCTGGACCGTGAGTTCACATAGGCCAGTGGCAGCCTGGGGCAAGCTGTTAGGCAGCTAGAAGAAGAGCAAACTCCTGGGATTTCGTTTAGGCCTGAAAGGATCTTAGGTTCCAACATAGCTGTCACTGGAGGTTACTGGGTATTGCACTGGAGGCTACTCGTATTGGGGGGAGGCCGGGGGGGCAGTGAATTTCTGCAGTTAGACCCACAGCAACAGAGAAAGCCAGAGGGCAGGTGCTTGAAGCACCACCTTCACTGGCTATCTCAGTAAGAGGGACAAGAGATGGAGGCAGGAGGTGTGTGAAAGACCGAGAATGACCAGACCAAAGGGAAGCTCAGGAGCCGCACCCTCTGGTCTCTGTGCCTTTCCTCTACACCCCTCCACCTTACCCCCCACCTTCTGCTGTAGTCCCTGAGATGAGATTCCAGGGTTCCAGGGCAGGTGATTTGTTTGGGAAATGATTGCAAAACCAAGAAGCAGGACTGTAAGCCAGGGAGGGGAGGTGGCCGGTGATGTGTGCATGGGCCCAGCTCCATCCCACCAGGAGACCAAGCCTCGGATCTCCTAGAGGGAGAGAGCTAGGCACCCCGCACCAACTCCAGTCAGCCATTGCTAGTGCTGGGGATGCGGTGAATCCCTAGGGAGACCCCTGGGTGCGCCTCTTCTGCCCCTGGGTGCACCTCTTCTGCCCCTGGGTGCGCCTCTTCTGCCCCTGGGTGCGCCTCTTCTGCCCCTGGGTGCGCCTCTTCTGCCCCTGGGTGCGCCTCTTCTGCCCTGCAGAGAAAAGGACTGCTGTCTGGCTGCCCGGTGGGTCCTCAGCCGAGAGATACTGACCCTGGTGGCGGGGGCCTGCTGGAGTGGCAACCTGAGAGAGGATGCTGAGACCCTGCCTAGAGTCTCTGAGAAGCACCTGGGGGTACCCTAGCCAAAGGTCCAGGAGGGGTCAGGGAGCAGAAAGCAGAGGTGCGCAGGCCCCTAGGCTGAGCCAGGGAAACTACAAGATTCAGGAAGATACCCCAGGCCTGGCCCCTGAGCCCACCAGCAGAAGCTGAAGTCCTGGGTGCACTGGTGATACTGGACTCAGAGTTCCCAAGCCCTGGGGACAGGTAGGACTTTAAATGTGTCCAGAGGGCAGAGCGGAGGGCAGAGCGTGGGGCCCTTCAACCAGGAACCATGGCAGGCGGACAAGGGCCAAAGATGCAGTAAGGCCAGGGCCAGTGTGCAATGCTTCGAGTAGCTGGGTGGAGGAAGTCCCCCCAAGCCACTCTCGAGAGTGAAGGTGGGGGGATTTGCTGGCAGCCCCACTCAGCTGCTTATGCAGACACCCCTATCAGTGTAATGCTCGAGAAAACATCTGGCCAGATGCCCACTCTGGGGATGAGGGTAGGAGAAAATTCCCAGTTACCATAAACACTTTTGTATGTTTGGAATTTCTCTACAAGAAAGAATTCCTTCTGAGGACTTCTAAAGTGATTTCCTGATCAGAAACAGGGTTGAGCAGAGCTCTTTGCTGTAACCACTATTTTTAAGGACATGGGTTGGCCTCCTGATAGTAGGAAAAGGTAATGAGGCTTTTCTAGAAGCTACATTGCACAACACTTTAAAGAAGATTGTGAACATGTCAGTGGGGTGAATCAGAGAATTGGGGAAGGGTCTCCTGAGGCAGGGGAGTGGAAAGACAGCACAGAAGGACACTGGTGGCCCTCCCTTGTCTCCTCACTCAGCTTTTGCTTCCACTGTCTAGTCTCCGGGCTTTAGAGAACTGCCCTGAGGCTACTCCTGTATTATGCAAGGAGAGGGCGGTTACCTGGACCAGAATTGGCATGAGGATGGATAAAAGCGGACGAGTCTCAGGGATGTTCAAGTGTAAAATGGACAAGACTTGGGGACTGACGTTCTCACCACCAGGATGGACAGGGTTTCAGGCATCTCTGAACACTACTTATGCACTCAGAACTGGAGTCCTGCATTTCCCCACACCCTCCCAGTCAACAGGTGACCCCTCCCAGGCATGAGGATGGGTGGTGAGTAGGGGTTTGATTTTTATATATTTTTATTTTTTATATTCTTACATCATTGACTTTTTGTACAATATTTGATTTCTCCCCACAGGTTAGTCCCCATAATTCTCTCATCACCGTGGCACCCATGACCATCACCATATTCCCCTGTGTTCTTCATGTCCCTGTGCTGGCCCCTCGCCCTTTGGTACTGTATGCCTCAGAGCTAGGGTTTGCCTCCAAGTATTGTCTTTTTCCAGGGATTTGTCTATGTTCCCTCAGCCACAGTGAAATCTTTCCAGCAACAGCTGTCATTCTGGTTCTCGCCAGTAGGTGGCAGCCTGAGCTACAAAGGGAAGGCAGCTGTTGAACTTTATGGGTTGTATCTGGAACTGGCCAGGGGCAGCAGATTTACCATCAGTCTTATTAACAGCTTCATAGTAGCACCCAACTTCTGTGGTGATGTCCACGTACGCTCTGCTTGAAGCTTTATATGAATTACCACAGCTCACCATCACAGCTCCAGGGGGCGGGGCTGTTATCTTCTTTCACTATGAGGCAAATGAGACTCAGAGATCAAGGGACTTGTTCAAAGTCACACAGCTGAGGAGCCACAGAATGAGGACTGAATGCCTGTCTTGTTTCCATTACATGAATTAGCTGCTCAGCAACACAAGCCCTAAAACTACTCTGAGATAAAGTACTTCAGCCTCCCACCCTACCCCTGTCCCAGCCTTCTCTTTCTCCTCCTCCTGAATGCCTCCAAAGATGTCAGACTTGCTCAGGACCTCCAAGTCAGCAGCCTCAACTTTCACCATCAGCACTTTGGAAGATATGGAGTGGCGATGGATTTGAAAGATTTGGAATTTCTCTTTCAAAACCCTCACTATTTTGTATGCCTTGCTCCCTTCCACAAAGTGGTAAGCCATCCTCACACTGCAGAGCTAAGCGGTGTCCCCAGGCCACACAGGGGGACAGGGCAAAGTGGCTCTAGAACACTTGGTCCTTTCACCAACTGTTACTTCATCTGTATCCATAGTTCAAGCACTGGCTCTGTGTCAGGCACTGTACCAGGCTCTGGTGGCCATCACCCCCCTGTTCCTCCTGCGCAGGCATAGGATTCAAATGCTGCATTTGGGATCCACAGCTCACCGGAAAGCAAGATTCAGACCTTCAACCAGCCTTTCAGTACAGCTCATATGTCTTATTTCAACATGACTCCAAGCAGATGGAGAAAATGAATAAATGTGTAAAATTCCTTTTCTCCTCCCACCCCACCAAGAGCCAAGCTGGTGGGTAATTATGGGACAGCTGCCAAAGAAGTCTGATCTTCAGGGGTGAGTTATGGCATTTTTACTCTTCTGGCTGAATGCCAATTTAGTCTTTGCCCTTTATAATTTCACGCATGCTCACCTTAGTGCAGGAAATCAGAAGCAACACCCAGTCACAACTAGAACAGAGGGGAAGAGTAATGGAGAAGGCAAGGCCGGGGTGAGCCCAGAAGGGCAGCAGGAAAAAGCCATTTTTTTGCATTAGTGGGGTCTTAGAGGATGGGGAAAGACAGCAATGATCGTAACGTACAGCTACCATGCCATGGGCATTTGCCAGGAGCCAGTGCCCTGGGCTTCGCCAGGGCTTTGTTAAGCACTCTTCATACTTACAGTTTCATTTACTCCTCCATCATATATTCATCTACTCAAACAACATTCATTGAGCAACTGCCGTGTCTGGTTGTCCCCAAAACTGGTTATTTTGGACTTGCCACTGGGCAGTGGATTTATCAGTATTAACAACTTCATCAGTACTTGCAGCTTCCGTGGAGAATTGCTGTTGTCCAAATATGCTGCGTACAGAGAGCTTTACGTGAACTACCTCGTTTCATCCTCACAACCCCTGGTGGGGATCACTGTTATCCCCCTGGAGTCCTGAGGAAGATTCTCAGACAGGGAATGATAGGACTTGATACATGGTGTAACTAAATGATGGCTTCAGCCACAGCGCCCCACCCCTTTCACTCGGCACCCACACAGAGAGGAAAGTGGGGCCCAGACCAAAGCATGTCCCCCAGATCACACAACTATGAGGAAGAGTCTGACCCAAGACCAAGGTGATTCCAGCCTCAATCTGACTGCATGCTGGCAACAGAGAAGTAAGGGGGTGGCTGTTGGGGGGTGGGGGGTGACTGCCGGCAGGACTCTGAGAACTTGGCCTTGGCATGGAATCTGGCTCCAGCTAGTTTCCTGGCCTGAGCCAGACCAGAGGTCCTCCAGCCCTCCCACCAGACAGCCGACTGCCTGGCTGAATGAAGTGTTCTGCTCTCCGATACTCTGCTCTGGGAAAGCCCCAGCCCCATGTGTCTTCAAAAATCCACTAGTAACATAGTTGTCCAGCCTGCAGTTCACATCCCCTTACCCTCCCGCCCTGCACCAGCCACCCCAAGCAGCCTCCACTGTCTGGATCCTGTTGCCTGGTGAGAAGGCCAAGTCCAGCCCGCTAGGCTGAGAGGTCACTGGCCAAGCTGAGCCGCGAGCAGTGGTGAGTGTACTGTGGGCTCTCCCCACCCTGGCCACCTCAGTTTTTCTCCCTGAGAGAGGCAGGGGTCTGGAAAGCAGAGCAGCAGCGGGGGCCGGAGGAGGCCACGTGAGGCTTCGGGGACACTGGCCCTTCTGTCAGGATCAATCACCCTAAGCCTGCCTGAGCAGTGCTGGGCTTAGGAGCAGTGTGAAAGCTGCCTTTGTGCCCAAGGAGAATGAGCTTCGAGATGGCCGGGACCCCTGGTGTGGGGGGCCACTTGGGCCCCAGCTCCTGAAATCAGGACCAGAAGGAAGGACCCCCTCGCCTGGCCCAGTGCCCACTTCATGCCATGGGAGCAGCCCAAGGGAAGAAGGTAGGATCCCTGGCGGTCCTGCTCAGCTCTGGACCTGGGAAGGGAGACTGGGGGGAGGGCAGGGCTCCCCCAACCGGACCCTTCCCTGAGAGAATAGCCAAGATTTGCATCGAGAAGCCTGACTGGGGCTCAGGGCAGAGCCGGTAGCTAATCTCTCATCTCTGAACAAACTGGAGGCTGCCCAGTCTCTAAGGCTCAGGTCTTTTGCACAAACCTCTCCACTTCTCTGTCTACGGGCTCCTTGGCCACACTGCTGCATACATCAGAGGGGTGTGGGCACAGAGGGGTGCGGGGGCCAGATGAAAAATAATGCTCATTATAAGGAAGTTGGCTAAGCAGCTGTTACCTGACGTAGGGCTGTGGCACGTTATTGATGCTTTTCTCTCAATTCCTCACCCGTAGACTGGGGATAACAGTCACTGCCTCAGGTCATGGCGAGAATGAGATTAACTCAAATCAGTAATGTGCTTGAAACAGTGCCTGGTACATGGTGGGCTGTCTACGCTAAGCCATCATTATTAGAATTCTGTTCATTTTCATCCGTCACCTTCTGCATCTCAGCTCTTTGCTGGGAGCCTGCAGACAGCACTGCCAATTAGTGTTTCTGAAAGTGGCCTCTGGACGCCCTACAATTAGGGTAGGGAGGGGGTTTGTTGAATAGTCACCAACCTGAGGCACGCCTAGAACTCCCGGCTCAGCGTCTCTGCAGAGGTGAATTTACTCACCAGCACTCCAGGGATCCTTGGGCGTGTTTGTGGTCCACAGGCACCACTGTGGTTCCAGTGGTGCCCAGGTGCCAGCTCCCCAGCTATCACTGGAAAAACTGACGCCCTCTGGATCTTGGTTTCTCTGTCTGTGAAATGGAGCTCCTTCCCATGGCCTCGTGGGGGGTTCCATGATATGAGGGAGCCTGCAAGGTGCTTAGCACACTGACACCTTGTGGGGC